CCCCATGGTCCTTGCTGTAAGATCCTAAGGGACACCCAGGACAGGGAGGAAATGAGGACTGAATCCTGGACCTGTCCATCCAGCCACAAACTATCGAAGGATATGAGTCTTCACTTCCTTTCCAAGTGAGAGTTTAAGTCCAGCAGTGTCTGTATTTGAGTTGAGACTAGGACGCTGTTCTTCCTGTGGCTTATGCATTCATCAACTCTAGAAGCAAGGCCTGGCCCAGGCACCTCTGTTATGAGGGCTCGGGAGTGGGGCCGAGCTGCCCTGGAGTTCCTTGGCATGGAGCCTAGTCATAAGCGTGGGGGATGGGAGGGAACAGGGCCACCTCCCGGAGTTGTTTATGTCACCGCATGAACAGCTTTGTGTAGCTTACTGACTTGCTGCTGTGCTGGGGCCTCGGGCTGTGCCATTAAAAGCCGGGTCATCTCCCCTCTGTTTGTGCCTTCTTTCTGGCCTCAGCCTCTGTTTTAGCTGGTGGGCCCTCAGGGGCCCTAGGGAAATTTTCAACCTTGCTAATAGGCACCCCAGGACCCACACTGACGTCAGCATGTTGAAGGTGGGCAGGGTTGAGGGAAAGAAGCTTCAATCTCAGGAGCAGGAGAAGCCAACCCTGCCCTTGCTTTCCCTCCCTGTGATTCAGGGACGCAGTGCCCTTCCCTGAGGAACAGGTTGTGAGCCCAGTATATGCAGGGCCCCTGTTTACTCAGCACAGTAGGCAGGAAGTGGCAGCTGGACACTGCCACACCGCACCGGCCTCATTAATCATTAACCATGAGTGAGCTAAAACCGTCTGGGAGAGACTAGGCCCAAATGGCTGCCACCTCCACTCCCTTTGCCCCCAGGCTGAGGCTGGGAGACCTATTATGTAGCCGTCCCAAAGCTTCCACAGGTGTCTCCACCCAGAGAAGCCCTGGCCCGGCAAACCAGCTGGGCTGCTCTGACTAAGCCACCCACCCCTGGGAAAGAAGGAAGGGAAGAATGAGCAGAACGGGCCTTTAGGGGACCCTGTTCCCGGTTCTTGGCGTAGAAGCCCACTCAAGCCAGGGCAGCTTTAAGTGTCAAGACAAGCTAGAACTGCCCATTGCCAACCGGCTGGGTTTAATGTAAGAATACCTGCCCCCTGACCGGACTCCACACCAGTCCCTCCTCTTCCCAGGCTGTTCCTTGGAAATGGAAACAAGACCTTGGGCCCCTCACATCTTTTCTCACTCTGGGAACGATAAGACTGAGATCCACACCAAGCTGCTTTCCCTTTATTTTCTTTTAAAGATTGTATTTATTTATTTTTGAGAGAGAGGGGAAGGGAGGGAGAAAGGGAGAGAAACATCAAAGTGTGGTTGCCTCTCGTGCACCCCCGCACTGGGCACCTGGCCTACAACCCAGGCATGTGCCCTGACTGGGAATCGAACTGGCAACCCTTTGGTTCGCAGGCCACTCTCAATCCAATGAGCCAGACCAGGCAGGGCTCGCTTTATTCTTTTATTTATACATTCTCCTGCTCCCAGACTTGGAGGCAGACCATGATGTAAGTTCCGCAGTCCTGCTCGGAGCCTTTACCATATTCTTCCAGTTTCCCTTTCCCCATACCCACCCTCACCCACCCCAACTCAGGTTCCCTGTCCAGTTGTTCTGGGGGTAAGAGAACACAGCCGAGAGAGAAGACCGAGCTGACTCTCCCCAAACCCCTGCCCCCAACCATAAGAGAGCAGGCCTGGACAGAAAGAACAGAGCTTCCAGTGAGGGATGGCAGATTGTTCCAAGGCACAGGGGCCACTTCCATGTGGCCACTGGTTTAGTCAGATCTGGGTAGTGTGCTGGCCTGGAGGTGGGGGTTGCAGTGCCTCCAACTGACTGAGGAGGACAGGAATGTGAGGGCGCTGCTGGGGGTCCACAGTCATCATTGAGGCCAGCAGCTGCCGCAATGCTGAAGAATGCCTGTGGAGGGAGGAGCGCAGGGTGACCGAGGGGCACCCATCCGCCACGCCGAGGCTCCAGGAATGTCAGGGAGAGTCTGAAGTGCTTGCTGCCCTTCTACTGCTCACCTGGGGCTCTGTGGGATGTTGAGCTCGTTCTGCACAGCCAGGGCCACACTGTCACCCTTCTGGAACACCATGTCATAAGGGCCTTCTCCAAACATCATAGCATATAACACACAGCCTAGAGACTGAGCATAACCTGGTTACTCCATGGAAGGGGATCAATGGAGGTTATAACTCTCCTCTTAATTCTGTAGTGAAAGGAGACTATATGAGCTAAAAGGACTATGCTGACTTCAGCCACGTGACCCCACCAGGGCCCAGAGAAACGGCCAGTTAGCTGGAAGCCTCTGCACCCCCTGTTTAGCCACTGTCTTCAGCCCCAGCACTTAGCTATACCAACCTTGTTCAAAGGGCAGGGTTATACCACTTCCTGAGCAATTAAGTACAGTGTCAGTGACAGTTGCCAGGAAGGAAGTCGAGGGCGATGGGGACATACATGTTTCCTGGGGCCCCATGCACTGGAAACCAAAGACCTCCTCCGCTACTCCACAGTAGGCACAGAGCAGCGCTCCTCCCCACCCAGACTCCCACACGCATGCTCCTCACCCAGACGTCAGTCCGCTCATCGATGACACACTGACTCTGCACCGAGAACAGCTCCGGGGCCCGGTAGGAAATGGTGCACCGCTGGGCTGCCCAGTCCTGGAACAGTGACCCCAGAGCTCAAAAGTGGGGGACAGGTTATGGTCACGTGACCAAAATGGGGAATGCGCCAGAAGAGGTCAGGGATGGGGAACAGGTGGGCAAAGGAACCTGGAGACTCTTACCTGCAGAGCCAGAGCCTGGCGGGAGCCCTCCACACGGATCTGTGCTTGATTCATGGAACCCAAGTCCATTAAAACCGGCTGCCCCTCATCTCCAAGCAAGACGTTGGTGGGCTTCAGGTCCCTGTCAGGAAGTGGAAATGACCCATGAGCATCCCTGGACAGGGAGGCTAGAGTCCCGGGGAGGGGGCCACGAACAAAATCATGGGGACTATTCCTTTGGAGGGGAGCCGAGACTTCTCGTTTCTCTGGACGGAGCTCTTCCTTTCTGCCCCAGAAAGCATACAGGGCCCTCCCACTGACCTGTGGGCATAACCCTGGGCATGAATGGCCTCGAGACCTCTGCAGATACCCAGCAGCAGCTGAAGGATTTGCTCTTCAGTCAAGAAGTTGCCTTTGTCTTTCAGTCTCTCTATCTCGTCCCACAGCGTACCTCTCTGCAACACAAGGATGCCCGCAGTTGTTTTTCAAGCTTCTGCTCCCTGAGCCTGGTCCCTTCCCCATGTCAAAAGCCCATCAACCTTCTCACCACACACACCGCACACCCTACAGTCCCATTTGGATTCCTCTAAACTCCAAATTTGAAGCGGTCAAACCCAGGACATAGCCTCTGCTTCCTCACATACTTGACTGCTCACATAGCTCTTGGTGGGTGGCTCTGTTGCAACCCCTCCACAGCCAGGAGACTTTCTGACCTTGAAGAAGGGTAGCAGCAGCCAGGCCTCATGTTTAGTGCCCCGCTCCCTCAGACAATAAGCCACGAGGTGAAGGATGTTTGGGTGTTGGAAGAGGCGATGCATGTCTGCTTCTCGTTGGGCCTCCTCCCGGTCCTGCTGCTCGTGACACACGATTCGCTTCAGGGCGTAGAAGTGTCCGTCATGTAACCCCTCCACTAGGTCCACATAGCTGAACCCACTGTGGGCCAAAGGGGTCAGTGAAGGGCCATGGTCATCTCCCACATTGCTTGGACCCAGAGGAATTCCCTGGGGAGAACAGGGGGTGTCCTTCCCATTTAATAGAAACCCTCCCAAGACGTGACTCTAAGAGAAGCCGGAAGATCATTGTACTTTGAGCTCCAGAGCTGGGACAAAGTAATCTTTGAGGTCCTGTGATCATAACCTAGTGCTCTGCACATAACAGATGCTCATAAACATTAACAAAGAGTTAACATTCATTAAGTGCTGTGAACCAGGCACTGGTGAGATATTTTATATGCATTATCTCATTTAATCCTCACAGCCCCATCAGTGACGCAAGACAGTAATTATCTCCATTAAGCAAATGAAGAAACCATGCCCTATCAAGGTCACAAAAGGTGAAGTAGGCGGCCTGGTTCCAGAATCTGCTTTCTTGACTAGCATGTCACTAGGGCTCTGCAAGGTAAGTTAAAGGATAGGTGACAGAATATAACCTTTGCCACTATCAGGTGAAGATCGCTGTCCTTCAATCACCATAATCCTGGGGACTAGTGATTTCTAAACACTCACCCCTCCCCCAGTTTCTGGATGAAGAGGTAGCGCTTATTGTCAATGATGACAGTTCCCGGAGAGCAGATACACAGCGCGTGGCCCATAATGTCTCAGTCATCCTCCTCAAGGGCGGTCTGAGGCTGCCAATGGGTTCGTCCAGATTGAGTGCGCTCTCCCAGGGGATGCGCTGGGGCCCCGCCGGATCATGCTGAAAGGAAAAGAACGGCAGGATCGCGGGTCGGGCACAATCCAGACGGCCCCTGAAGTACTAATGTGGAGAGGTCGGGCCCAGGTATCGGAACCTATAGAAAACCGGCCCTGCCGATACCATCTCCAAGGAGGTTGGGATCAGGTGCCTCAAAGCCTCAGGCCACGCAGCAACTACCAGAGCGCTTCCTCCGCCACCAGCCCACCTTCGGACGGCCCCGGATCCCATGCCCATCGGGCCGCGAAGGCAAGGGTATGGCGTAGTTCCCCGGGGGTGTGAGGCTCGGACCTATCGTTTGCAGAGCCCACCCCTGGCCTCTGCGTGTACACCCCAGGTAAGCCAGCCCAGCTCCCCCACTGACCTGGCTTGGGCAGGAGGGAAGCGCCAGGGACCGGAAGTAGTGGTTGTGTCATCATTCCGCGCCTGCGTAACAGCCCGCAGTATCCTAGCAACCGCCGGGCATCCGGGCGATGTGGGGGCGCAGAGCTGACCAGCGGACGGGTTAGGCCTGTGGTGGGACGGGTTCCGGGACCCGAGTGAAGGTTCCACACCTGGCCTTCAGCAGGGGTCAGGACGCAAGCACCTGCACCAAGGGGGAGCAAAGCCGGGCCCGGCCCGAGGCCCCCAGGACCTCCATTTCCCAATGCCGGAGGTAGGAGGCGTCATACCTCCGGCGCGCTGGGTGGCAGACTACCCTCCAGCCCAAGAGTAGGTGGGGGCCACCTGGATTCCTGGAGCTCTGATCTGTACAACCCTGGGGGCTCCGGCCTATATCCCACTACCCTAGTCTCGCTAATTAAGAGCTCAAGCTCTTGAACCAGACGAGGGTCTAAATCTGGTCGTTTAATAAAGCCTACTAGGTGTGTGACCTCGAACAAGTCATTTAACCTCACTTTCCCTACTTACAAAATAGGCTAGTCCCTAAGGTTAAGTGCATGAACCATGAGGACAGATTGTCTAGTTCCGATTCCACCTCTACTAAATTAGTTATGTGACCTTGGACAGGCTGCTTAATGTTTCCATCCCTCAATTTTCTCAACTGTAAAAGGCAAATGATAATTATCTACCTTATGAAGTTGTTTGAAGACTAAATGATGTGTGTAGTGCCTAGCAAAATACCTGATGCATAGCCCTCAATAAGTGTCAAGCAGAATTATTGTTGTTGTTATTGTTGTTATTACTTTTATTATTACTCTGGTCCTCCCATCCCACACCTGGGACTGTGAAGGCAGGAGTAATGGAAATTCACAAATTCCTAAGCCTTGGCACCCAGCTGCTGTCCTTGACCCCTCTTTGTGCAGCCCGGCAGGGGTAAATTGGAAAGGAGTGCACATCCAGAGAAGATGGAATATCCTGGGTGGTGTTTAAATAGGGCTCTCTAGGAAAAAAAGATCCGTTTTGTAACCTACCTCCCCACTGCCTCCCTTACCCATGACTGGGATGATCTTCCTACAGTTCCCTTCGGTTCTGACCCTGTCTTAGCACCGCCCCCCCCGCCCCCCCCGGTCATCTAGATATAACCTGCCCGGTGCTAGAGGCTGAGGATTCGAGATGCACAAGGCACCCCCAACCTTTAGGGAGCTCAGTCTAGTAGAGCACTGCTTCTCACTCTTGAATGTGCTTACGATCCCCCGGAATCTGGTTAAAATACAAATTCGGGTTCTGTAAGTCTGAGGTGGGACCTGAGACTCTGCAGTTCTAACAAGCTCCCAGGTGACGCCGATGAAACTGGTTCAAGATGTAGAGGATTTTCCAAACTAGTATAGTAGCCGGAGACTAAGCCAGGCTAGCTAACTGCCTGGCAACTTGAGGTGCTCTCCGCCCCTCCTTGCTCGCCGAAGTTTCCTCCCAGGAATCCGCCACGTGACAGTTGGGCCGCCGTCTAAGCGCCATGGCTCCCAAAAAGCCGCTCGGTCTTCCTTCCTTGCTGCTGCTGCCCCTGACGCTACTGCTGCCCCAGGTAAAATGAGAGGATTGAACTAGTTTGCGGTGAGGCGTAGGAGAGAAAGTGAAAAATAACAGAACACTGAGCAGAACAGCGGCCGGCTCCCCACTCCCCCGCCCCCGCTTCGCCCACCCGCCCCTCCCCCCGCTTCCTCCAGACCTCTACTGTGCATGATCTCTCCCTTTGCAGGCAGACAGTCGGTCGTTCGTAGTGGATCGGGATCATGATAGATTCCTCCTGGACGGGGCTCCGTTCCGCTACGTGTCTGGCAGCCTTCACTACTTTCGGGTACCTCGGGTGCTTTGGGCAGACCGGCTTTTCAAAATGAGAATGAGTGGCCTCAACGCCATACAGTTGTAAGAGGGGCTCAGGAGAGGGATGGGATTTACTCTTCCTACCACCCCCTTAAAAAGGGGGGTCGGGACAGGAACACTGGCTGGGTATGAGGAGGGGGTAGAGTTCCAGGACTTCCAGGTAAAGGGTGGGAAGGGTGGGCCCGGACCTCCTTTCGACAGCTTTTTCCTAGAGATTTCCTGCAAGGCCAGGAGCCCTTATACCTCCCGGGCATCTCCCCATGCCCGCCTTGGGCCCTGTTAACCTCTTCCTTTCTCAGTTATGTGCCCTGGAACTACCATGAGCCAGAGCCTGGGGTCTATAACTTTAATGGCAGCCGGGATCTCATTGCATTTCTGAATGAGGCATCTTTAGCGAACCTGTTGGTCATCCTGAGACCTGGACCTTACATCTGTGCAGAGTGGGAGATGGTGAGTTAGTTGGAGAAGGGATAGAACCAAAGCCACCCAGATGGGGTTCCTGGGCTTCTCCCTTCTGCCCACCCTCTAGGGCCACTTTCAGTACAGTCTTTAACTTCTTCTCAGACAACAAAACCCACAAACTTCTTTGTTGTCTTTATGTTTGTGTCAGGGGGGTCTCCCAGCCTGGTTGCTTCGTAAACCAAACATTCGTCTGAGAACTTCAGATCCAGGTAAGTCGAGACAAAAAAAAATGAACACATAGCCGTGGCTGGTGTGGCTCACTGGACTGAGCACCCGCCTGCCTGTGAGCTGAAAGGTTGCTGGTTCCATTCCCAGTCAGGGCACAAGCCTGGGTTGCAGTCAGGCCAGGTCCCCACTTGGGGGCGTGCAAGAGACAACTGATTGATGTATCTCTTGCATTGATGTTCCTCTCCCTCTCCTCCCTCCCTTCCCCTCTCTAAAAATAAATAATTAAAAAAAATTTTAACACAGAAAAAAGCAAACAACAATGACAAATGGGTCACTTGGGTGCCCCAAACAGAAGAGAGCATCCCCAAACTGGAGATCATATTGCTTCCTTCGTGCCCAGCAGAATGCTAGAAACTGGGGAACCGGACAGACCCAGTCCCTGTGCAGCGGGACTTCTAGTATAGCGGAAGAAACAGATTTTTAAAGAAACCCAAACCTGTAATATTGCGAGTTGTAAACATACCACACAGGAAAATAGACAAGGAGTTGAGTTAGTGAATAATAGAGAGGGGCTCTTTTAGGTAGAGAGGTCAGGAGATAACTTTTCTGAAAAGATGACATTCTGTTGCCCTGGCTGGCGTAGCTCAGTGGATTGAGTGCAGGCTGCGAACCAAAGCATCGCAGGTTCGATTCCCAGTCAGGGCACATGCCTGGGTTGCAGGCCATGGCCCCCAGCAACCGCACATTGATGTTTCTCTCTCTCTCTCTTTCTCCCTCCCTTTCCTCTCTACAAATAAATCTTTTAAAAATTAAAAAAAAAAGATGACATTCTGTTGATCAGAGACAAGGAAAATCTCTAGTCATATGAAGACAGGGGGGACAAGGTACTCTGAGGCCCAGAGATGGGAAAGAACAGGGCAGGGTTGAGGCCAGCGAGGCTGGAGCACAGTGGGTGAGGGAGAGAGTGGTGTGATGTGAAATTAGAGATAGGTGGTGACTGTCGATGCAGGACCTTGCAGGCCGTTGTAAGGAGCTTGCATTTTATTCTCAGCACAATGGACAGTCTTTGAAAGAGTTTAACCAGAGATGTGACGTGATTGGATTTGTTTTCAGATGACTTCAGCCTGGGCGTGGAGGGTGGGTCTCGGGAGGGGCAGTGAGAGTGATGGCGAAGAAACCAGCGGGGAGACTGCACCGGTAGTGGAGGAGACAGTGGCTCCTGCACTACCGTGGTGGCAGAGGAAATGGGGAGAAGAGAGCAGAACTGGGATATAGATTGGAGGTGACATCACCAGCACTTCTTGATAGATTTTAACGGGAAGGGTGGGGGTGGGGAGAGTGTTAGTAGGGTCTGGGGAGAAAGGAATGCAGTTTCTGGCCAGTCAAGATGGCGGTGCTATTTACTGACAGGGAGGAGATAGAGAAGGCAAGGAGTGGCAAAGGAATGACTTTTGGGGGGAGAAAATAGTTCAATTTTTATCATTTCTGACTCAAGTGAGGATATTGAAGTAAGTAATGGGATATGTGAGTGTGGAGCTTAGGTGGAGGTCTGAGTTGAATTTTGGAATAAGTGCCAGCTAAAGATGGCACTTAAATTTATGGGTGCCGAGACATCACGTGGGGGCAGAGTGTAGAGAAGGAAAAGATGAACTCAGCATTAAGCTCTGAGGTGCCTAATATTTCAAGAAGTTTGGATTTCGTTTCAGGTTCAGATAGGAAGTCATTAGAGCAAGGGATTAATTTTATCTTTGAAAAGGTCGCTCTGGTACCACTTTATATCTGCTGAGGACTCTCCGGCTGCTGTTCTACTTTTCGGGGTACTGGAGAGCTTTATGTTCCTTAAGGCATTTCCCAAACTCAACTGACTATGAAATGCATTTAAAAAGATAAAGTATTGATGGAACACTAACATGCAATCTGTTTTTCTCAGGAAAATCAGTGACCTTTTTATTATTAACTCCATGGTGATTTCTCAGGCCTCATCCTCCTTGGCCAGTCAACAGTGATCAGCACAGCTGATCACTTTCCTTTGAAATACATTTTTCTCTCAGCTTCCACAATACCACAGTTCTCATCTTTGCCTCCCTCCCTACAATCTTTCTGGCCACTGCTCAGTCTTGGCTAAATGCTTGAGTGTTTCAGGGCTCAGTGCTTGGCTGCTTCTCTTTTCTGTGTTCGTGCCCTGGGTGAGCTCATCATCCATTTGCATGCCTTTAAATTCCATCTTACAGCTCATGACTCTGAAATATGTTATCTCCAGGACCTTCCTTTGGCCTCCAAAGGCATGTATCCAACTGCCTGCTTGACTTCTGCGTTTGGAGATCTAAAACTTGTAATGATACAACTAAACTCATGTTATTGCCTCCTCTATACCAGCAATTCCGACAATCGCCCCATCTCAGTTAATGGCAAATCTGTTTTCCAGCTTATCAGACTCAATATTATGGTATAATTCTTCATGCCTTTCTTTTTCTCACACCCCACATTTAATCCATCAGAAAATTCTGTCAGCTTTACCCTCAAAATATATTGAATTCAACTACCTCTCACCATCTCCACTGCCACTACCCTGGTCCAAACCACCTCTCTCAGCTAGATCATTTTAACAGCTTCCTAAATGGTTTCCCTTCTTTGCCCGTCCCCCATGTAGTCTATTCTCAATACAGCACCCAGCGTGATCCTGTTAAAATATGTTTAACTATATATCAGATCATGTCATTCCTCTGCTTAAACCTCTCCAGCAGGTTCTCATCTCATTCAGAATATGAACTGTAGATTCCTTCAGATGGTCCACTAGATCCTACCCAGTTGGCCCAGTCACCTCCCCGACGCCTGCTCGTCTCATGGTTCACACTGGCCTCGTTGCTGTTCCTCACACCCCCCGGGGCTTCTGGCAGATCAGCTTCGCCGCGAGACCTTCCCTGGGCCACCCTTGAACATTTGAGCTCCCCCACTGCATCATTTTACACCTTCCTTCTCTGCGTTGCTTTCTCTCCGTGGCATTAACCCACTGCGCATTTATTGTCTGCTCCCCTCACTGGAAAGGAAATTCCACAAAGGCAGAGATTTTTGTCTATTTTGTTATATTCAATGTCCCTAACACCTAGAACAGTACATGGTGCTTAGTTACCACCCACAAGTACTTGTTGAATGAAATTCAATGTATGCTTGGATTAAAGAAGGCAATAAAACCTGGGCCTCCTTTATACAGAACACACAAAATATAAAGGAATTAAATCTTTTTTAATTTATTTTTATTTTATTTTTAGGCAAAAGGAAAGGGAGGGAGAAAGAAAGGGAGAGAAGCATCAATGTATGGTTGCCTCTTGTGTGCCCCACACTGGGGACCTGGCCTACAATCCAGGCATGTGCCCTGACTGGGAATCAAACTAGTGACCCTGTGGTTTGCAGGCCAGTGCTCAATCCACTGGGCCACACCAACCAGGGCTAAATCTTTTAAGAATACAAAAATATCCTCCAAAATATCTTTCATCAAGTCTGCCTTTGAGAATGTGCTATCTGCAGAAGTTGTCCTCAATGATAGGGACCAAGTAAATGAACCAGACAGAGCTCCTGCTCACTAGCGGGGGGAGCAACCAAGAAGAGTTACAGAAACACATGCTTAACTACCACTGGTTATGTGCTTGAAAGAGCAGTATGACATGACAGGAGAGCGTGTAACGGGGATCCACCCAAATCTGGGGTACCGAAGGCTTTCTTGAGGAAGCGAAATATAAGTTAAGACCTGAAGACCGAGTTGGAGTTGGCTAGGTAAAGGAGGGTGAGGAAAAAGTGTTAGGCAAAGGTAATAACACTCAGGAAGACTATGAGGGTGAATCAACAAAAATCACAATAGCGGTTGAGAATTTAAGGCATGACAGCTAATGTAATGGTCGTTCAATTGATGACTGAGGTCCCCGGGACTGTCGGGTTACATCGTGGTGCAGGTCAGACATCTTACCCTTCTGTGAATCCCCGTGCTACTTCATAGCGATCTTGAGTGTACACTGATCACATGATAGTAACCCCACGACAACGTGTTTAACGTTTTTCTTTCAGTTAAAAAATAAACTTACAAGAAACACTGCTTTAAGTTTGCCTGTGCGCAAACTTTCTTGCTGTGCAGATATATAAGAACTTAGGGTTGAGAGCTGCTTCTCATAAGAATCACTGTTTCCCACACTGAGGTGTGGACAAGGGGGACGCAGACTTCGGCCGGAGTTCAGGCAGCCCTAAATGAAGCCGCTGGCGTCAGTGCTGGGGGTGGGCACTGTGGAGGTGGTGGTGCCCTGACAAGCAGAGTGCTGCCCCTTCCTTCAGACTTCCTTGCCGCAGTGGACTCCTGGTTCAAGGTCTTGCTGCCCAAGATATATCCATGGCTCTACCACAATGGGGGCAACATCATAAGCGTTCAGGTACAAGTGGAGAGTTGACTGGGCAAGGGGAAGGAGGTGCCGGGGGTGCCGAACCTTCTCCACCTCCCGGCTGAGCTCCACGTTTCCTTTCTCCTGGCAGGTGGAGAATGAATACGGTAGCTATAGGGCCTGCGACTTCAGCTACATGAGGCACCTGGCTGGGCTCTTCCGGGCGCTGCTGGGAGAGAAGATCTTGCTCTTCACCACGGATGGGCCTGAAGGACTCAAATGTGGCTCTCTGAATGGACTCTACACCACTGTAGATTTTGGCCCAGGTCTCCTGAGCAAGGGTTAGGAGTGGAGTCTGGGGAAGGGGCACCTCTTCCGTGACGTCTTTTTCACCTGTGCCTCCTTTCTGCAGCTGAAAACATGACCCAACTGTTTGCCCTGCAAAGGGCGTATGAACCCCATGGGCCATTGGTGAGAAGCCAGAAGGGAGGGCAGTTAAGGCGAGAGTCGGGGTTGGGAATGGGTTGAGTACAGTTCCCCCCGTCTTGCCCATGACTCCTTTCACTCCCACCAGGTGAACTCGGAGTACTACACCGGCTGGCTGGATTACTGGGGCCAGAACCACTCCACGCGGTCCGTGAGAGCTGTAACCGAAGGACTGGAGAACATGCTGAAGCTGGGAGCCAGTGTGAACATGTAAGTGCCGACACGGGGTCACCGTGAATCTGGAGCTGGGCGCTGGGGATGCAAGTTCAGATCCCATGGGTCAGCTTGTGCCTTTCCCTCCACCTCCCCCCACTTCAGGTACATGTTTCACGGAGGTACCAACTTTGGATACTGGAATGGTGAGTCCAGATGGTGTGAGGGGTGGAAGCAGGGACCTAGCAAGGAATTCGAATCTGAAGGCTGGGTGGATTAGGATATCTGGAAGAAAGCTGGATATAGCCACAGCTGCCCCTCTGATGGCAACAGGTGCTGATGAGAAGGGGCGCTTCCTTCCAATTACTACCAGCTATGACTATGATGCACCAATATCTGAAGCAGGGGACGCCACACCTAAGCTTTTTGCTCTTCGAAATGTCATCAGCCAGGTGCCCTACCACTTCATTAAGCCCTAAAGGCTTTTATTAATTTGGGGAAGAGAGTGCCTAAATTGTTTGTAAAGGGTTCCTAGAAGTCACTTGTGGTTGTCTGGACCACAGAGCCCTGTGAGCACCCCATAGAAGTATTTCTCATTTGCCCAAATGGGACTCCCTGGGAGATACACACCAGTATGTGCAGAATTACAGGATCTTTACGGCCCCTGAAGCCCTTCCCTGTACCCCAGGCTAAGAACCCTATGCTAGGGTCTTGAAATAGGAGTTGTATGGTTTTTCTATGGCTCCTGACAGAATTTGGGCTCAGTTTCAGGAAATTCCCTTGGGACCTTTACCTCCCCCCAGCCCTAAGATGATGCTTGGACCTTTGACCCTGTACCTGGTAAGCTCCTCCCTATTGCTTGATTCTGTCCTATTAATCTCTAAGTAGCCCTTTATCCTGTCTGCTCCCTATCCTGAAACTTCCCTTTTATTGTTACTACCCCCTTATTCTTCTTCTTTTTTTTTTTTTGGCCATCCCCTTATTCTAATAGGATGGATATTTGCTGGATTTTCTGCACCTCCTGTGCCCTCGAGGGCCCATCCATTCAGTGTTGCCAATGACCTTTGAGGCTGTCAAGCAGGTAAGGTGTAATCCACATCTGGTAGATAAGGCAACCGTCCACAACAGCTATAGCCAAAGGTTCCCTGAGTTCCACGTCTTCCCCACAGTACCATTTTCATCGCAGTTTATCTTAAATACTCATCTTCCACACCCAGGACCTTGGCTTCATGTTGTACCGGACCTATCTAAGCCACAGTGTTTTTGAGCCAACACAATTCTGGGTGCCGAACAATGGAGTTCATGACCGTGCCTACGTGATGGTGGATGGGGTACGCACCTAATTCCAGGCTACCTGCGAGGCCCACTTTCCTCTCCTCCCAAGTACCCTTCAGCCTTAAGTTCCCCTGTCTCCCTTTTCCCACTGCCTGCCCACATTTGCAGGGGGTCCAAGGATAAGCTGGGACAAGAGTTGACTGGGGGTGAGGTTCTGGAATGGACGGGTAATTGACAAATGGGCTGCCTTCTCTTTGCGCTCCAAATAAGTGTCCTAGCGTGGCTTTCTATTTGGTGGCCGGGAACTAGATGCTGAGCCCCTCCCCTCATAGATCCTCTTATCTACAGGTGTTTCAGGGTGTTCTGGAACGAAACACAAAACACAAACTATTTTTGACGGGGAAGATGGGGGCCAAACTGGATGTCTTGCTGGAGAACATGGGGAGGCTCAGTTTTGGGTCTAACCACAGTGACTTCAAGGTGAGCTAGCTTTGCCCGTCCCTTCTCCGCCGTGTCCTTAGGACCACACTCCCTTGGAAAGAGAGGGACCTGATGGGAGAGAAAAGCATGAGCCACATCCTTAGCAAAGTGTAGTGTCTCGTGGGGATGTGGACATGGCTCCTAGTTGCATCTCAGGGCTTGATTAGGGAGCCTTTCACCTTAGAGGTCACTGAGTGCTGAATTTTCATTTGCCTTCTTCACAGGGCCTATTAGAGGCACCACTTCTGGGGCTAACGATCCTTACCCAGTGGCTGATGTTCCCCCTGAAAATTGATAAGCTGGTAAAGGGGTGGTTTCCCCTGCAGTTGCCAAAAAGCTTGCATCCTCAAACTCCCTCTGGCCCCACCTTCTACTCTACAACATTTTCAATTTTAGACTCAGGTGGAGACACATTTCTCTTTCTACCTGGATGGACCAAGGTATTGCTGATGGTTGGGGGTGGGGGGAGGGAGGGTTTGGGGTGGGGGGTGGTAAGCCGGGAAAATCATGGAACGGGTATCAGAAATTATTCCTCTGATTACAAGCCCAGAAGGGGGTGATTCTACCACCTTGAGAACTGCCCATTTATCTCCCTCTCTCCTCCCTCCCCCCAGGGCCAAGTCTGGATCAATGGGTTTAACTTGGGCCGGTACTGGACAAAGAGGGGGCCGCAACAGACCCTCTACGTGCCAAGACCCCTGCTGTTTCCTAGGGGAGCTCTCAACAAAATCACATTGCTGGAGCTAGAAAATGTGCCTCCCCAACCCCAAATCCAATTCCTGGATAGTCCTATCCTCAATAGCACCTTGCATAAGACATATATCTATTCCCTCTCAGATGACACACCAAGTGCCCCCCAACCAATGGAGTTAAGTGGGCACTGAAAGAAAGGTAACCCCTGGACCTGGGACATGGAGCGGGCAGGATTCCTTGGCGCTGGCCACAGTGGCCAAAAAGAACCAAAGGCCACCAGAACTGAACAAGTGCAGTTCCCTTACCAAAAACTTTATTGTAATTAAAGTTCCAGAGACAGTACCAGCTCCACACACCTCTGTGGCCATCTTTGCCCTGGCTCCTGAGTGTCTCTCACCCTAATCTTCCAAATACTCTGGTTTCTCGGGGAAGAAGAAGCCTAGGACCAGTGTGAATGTGCCCTCTCAGGGTGTAGCGCTGACCCCAGGTGGAGCCGTGAGAGGTCAGGAGGAGGGCTTCCCCGCCCGGCCGCGGTGCTCCTGCAGGCAGCGTGTGGAGCAGAAGGAGAAGTCAAGGTAGTGAAAGGGAATGAGACCTTGGAGGGAGGTCCCACAACTCCAGCAGCGTCTGAACAGAGGAAGAAAAACAGATGGACAGGTACCCCAGGAACTCTCCAATTCAAGTTCTCCCCGTCCCTCTTGCCATTTCTGTTTTCACTCCAAAGGTTCAAAGAACTCCTCAAATCCCTTCAACAAGCTCTCTACGTAAGCACTCATTCGACTTGCCCCAACATTATGGTCCACCCATCACTCCCGCCTCTCCACATACTGGGCATTGGCGATTGCAGAATCAGGGATCTGGGGGGCGGGGGCTCCCAACTGGGCAGCTAGTCGGCGCTCGGCAGCCAGAGCTCTCTAAGGGGAAGAGAAGTTGTGTTAAGGACAAGCCTCCAAGGGTGGACAGCGTACCCTACAGTGACAGCTGCACGCTGGAAAGGATTACACCTCCAAGGAAGTCTCGCTGCGGAAGAGAGGACCTGCGGCCTCACCTTCTCCCTGTCGCTCAGAGAGGCAAATCGCCGCTGCTCCTCCTGTTCCCGCTCCTCCTGCTCCCGCCGCTCCCGCTGCTGCTCCTCCCGCTGCCGTCGGGCTGCCTTCTGCTCCCTTTTCCGCAGAGCCTGCCGCGCCTCCATTTCTGGTGTCAGTGGCCCCGGCACCTGGAGGATTTCCGGGAAAGTATGAGGTAAGGCCTATACAAACTACCCTCGGTAAAACAGTAAGAAAGTAGAAAAGATTCAGCCAGGATCTATGATGCCTTCCCACTCTGCTGCTTCTTCCTTTCCCAGCTGACCTGAGCCTTGCCGTAATCATAAGCATCTGGATGCTTCTCCATAAACCTTCGGAACTCATTCCGTGTTGATCTGTCAGCTGCGACGGTATATGGTGGCCGGGTCCGGGAGTCCCTCGGTGTGAAAACCCCAAACGGGTTCAGCTTGCCTTGTGCATCTCCAAACACCCCATAACAAGACCAAGGGGAATACTGTCAAGTAGCCAATGCCAACATTAGCCCTCAGATCATCCTCTCTATATGAAGGGCTCAGCGTGGGGACCCATACTTACTGAACGGTGGGGTCAGCACCTGCCTCCAGCAGCAGGCGAACCACTGAACCTCTCCCAGCTGCGGCTGCTGCATGCAGGAGGGTGAAGCCACCGGAGCCCAAGGGGGCACTGAGCAGAGACAGAACTTCGGGGTCTATGGGGCTGGCAGCTAGCCAGATTTGCAGCATCCCAACATCTCCAGCTCGGCAAGCAGCGAGAAGCATGTCCCAGAGCTCTGAATGACCAGGGACCTTGTCCTCATCCAGGGAAGGCTCCAAAGGGGCTGCATGTGCTCTAGCTGGCTGTGAGAAGACCTCTTCTCGAGGTTGCTGGGGGAGAGTCACGTGTGCTCCAGTCTCCAGGTCTCGGCTTTTCTCCCTCTTATTCCTTTTTCTCCTCCTCCGCTTCGGCAATATTTCACACTCACGAAGATCCAGGGTCCCAATTGTCGACTCTACTAGCTCCAACTCCACCTGGAAGCCATCTTCTCCCTCTGACCCTGAACCTAGGGAAAAACTTGACATGTTACATCCATCTGAAGAAAAAGCAGAGGGTGGAAGGGTAGGGGCTGCCCCAGGTGCATAAGAATGTACATACAGAGATAATACAGGTCACTTTGAAATAAAATTATTTGTATTGTCAGCCAAGATAAAGTAGCACATCAAGAGCTAAATCCATTTGTATCCCGTGAAGAAATGAGGGTCTCAGCCCAAACGAGGGCAAGTCCAGAAGGAGCTAGGCAGAGACCAAGGTCCCTAGACTCGCCCATGAGCAGCCTTAGGATAGTGCACACAGAGGAAAGCATAGGAGCAGTGACAGCTATGCAGGCCAAGAGTGCAGCCAGGGAAGCAGTCCTTAGCATCCAATAAGGCCTACGATCCAAGGGCTAGAAAATCAACTTCATGTTAAGACTTTTCTGAGTACTAATAATATATCAAGGAACAAGAGCAGTAACAGGGGATTTGGAAAGGTCACTAAACACGTCTCAGTAACTTCTACCCCATATCCCATACTATAATCAGACCCGTGTGAATGTTGCGTAAGGGCTCATCTGTGAACCGGACAGTGAGAGCAGGGGGTTTGCTATTGCATTTCCAGGACAGACGCCCAGATAGACACTTGAGAGTTGACAGATGGTGTTCAAACCCTGTTCGGGAGAGTCCTCGTTCTGCCCCAGCGCCTCATTTTCATCACTGGGGACCTTGTTTTCTTCCTTGGTAGCCTTCTTCCTCTCTCTCGTTGTCTTCCAGTGTGTCTGAGGCGAGGCCAACCTGACTGTCTCCCGGGGGTCTTCTCCTGCCATAAAACAAAAGACGTTGCTCCAGTTTAGCTGAGGAGAAGCCAGCCCAGGTCTTTTCTCAACGAAGCTGTGATTGGGCTGCAGTCTGAGAGCTAGGAAATCATCTGGATGCAGAAATGAGAGCCCGAGCTTTGGGTTAGAAGGTACAGGAAGGTCTAGGGAGTCTGGGGGTCAGGATCAAAGGCTCACCGTGGATGTGCAAGGTGGTCAGCTTATGGAGCACACGCTGTAGTTCTTTGAAGGTGGGTCTGCGGGTAGCGAGGGGGATATCCCAAAGCCGGGGATCCCCCCGTTGCAGGGGTGCCCCTTGGCCTCCGAAGAACAAGGACCGGCCAGAGCGGGGGGCGCGCAGCAATACTGTCCCAGCCTCCCCCAGCGCCTTAGCCCAGCCTGGCTCTGCCAGCAGGTCACGAACGTCCTAGAGAACAGAGCAACTCAGTCCTGTATCTTTTCACTTGTTACCTTTAAATCTCCAACCAAAAAATGGCCCCAAGTATAGGAAGTAAAAGGTAGAAATGAACACAGAAAGAAGGAAAGGACTAAGATTCCTGGGGATCCATCCTATTCTACCTTTGTCTACCCAGAAATAACAAAGACTGGAAGTTACAAGATTCAACCATTTTACTGTAACATTTAATGAATTGAAAATGTGCATTAGCGGACCACCAGATCTTAGATGCCTAACTTACCTTATATAAGGTGGCTTCATTGTAGCGCCTCAGGTTCGCTCCTGCAGAGCGACAAGCCCCGCCCCGGGCGTCACGAAGTCCTTGGGCTGTGCCGCGCTTGGCCCGTACTGTGTAGCGGTGAAAGGTCTTGTGTGCCACCACGTCTCTTCTGCAGACAACAAAGACTCAGTACCGGAAACCTGGCACTCCCAGCTGAGCAGGATCCACTCCGTCCATAACTCCACCCAGCACCCTCTCACCCTTGGTAAATGGCACCAGCAAAGTGCCCGGCCGCAGCCATGAGTACCACACAGTGTCTAGGACCTCCACTTTGCAGGTTCTGTAGTAGCAGTTCTGGCTCCTCCGGGGGCACCTGACAACAGAGGAGCAGGACAAACATCTGTCACATTAATTGACAGTATGAAACCAAGTGCCTGTGCTAACTGCTTCACAAGCAACATCTCATTTAATACAACCACCCTGAGGCTTGTCTCCACTTTACAAATAAGGAGGCTGGTAGAGGTAGTCAAGATCAAGTGGTGGAACCATAATCTAAACCCAGGTTGGTCTGTTTCCAAACTTGATTCCATTATACTTGACCCTTCCAAGACCCAGGCCGCTCAATCCAAGACTGTGATGTCAAGCTCAATACTCACACCCAACAGGAAGGAGGGGAAGAAGTGAGAAATGGACTGAGCTAAGCGAAGAGTTGAGGCTGAGTGTACCAAAGGTTGGAATTAACCATACAACCTGTGCTGTCACTTGCCTGGCGAGGGCCTAGGACACAGCGATAGGCATAAAGAAACTGGCCCTGGGCGTTTTGGAAAAGAACCCGATGGGAGCGGGAGCCTCGGGATTGGTTAGACTTCTCAAAATCAGGCTTCTCCTCTTGTAGTATCCGCAAGTCCTCCTCACTGGCTGAGTCTGAGTCTTCTGATCCTGAGATGCTGGAAAGATCTCCTGAAACATAAGACACCCAAGTTCGGTGCTCCAACTTTCAGCTTCCCACGAGCTCCTAAACGAGGGTCTTCTCCCACCCCTATGTCCTACTCCCACAAAGGTCTCCCACAAAGGTCTCCCACCAGCCATCACCTGCGGAGCTCCGCTTTTCAAAGTCCAGGGCAGACAGAAGAGGCTTGTCCTTGAGACGTTGCTTTAGGTTAAACCGATGCCAGTCAAGCTTATAATGTTCCCTCTGGTAGGAATCAATGAGGGAAGCAGAATATGGAAATATGGCCCAGCCTAGCCTTTTATGCTACCCGAGACCAGTAACAATGCCAGGAAGTATGACCAGGTTACACTAATTGCCTTATTCAAAACATGGACCTTTAGTCCCGGCCAGGTGGCTCAGTTGGTTGGAGCGCTGTTCCATTGTGAGTTCCATCCCTGGTCAGGGCACCTACCTAGGCTGAGGGTTCCATACCCAGCTGGGGCATGTATAGGAAGTAACCAATCGATGTTTCTCTCTCTCCCTTCCTCTCTCTCTAAAATCAATAAACCTACCCTTGGGGTGAGGAGCTTTTGAAAAAAATGGATCTTTATTCATTAAAGACATATCAAATACCTACCTCTCCTCACCCACCATTTTACTTTTGTTTCCACCCTTTAGTTCTGTACCTGGCAGCTTTTACCTGTTCCTGG